TAGGAAGAAAATTAACTCTATCCCAGCCAAAACGAGGACAGCACCCTAAAGTAAACTTCCTCATTTAACTGAAGTGAGAAGGCAATAGGATAGAGATTGAGAAAGGAAGAAACATTACCATGGTGTTCAGTTAGTTTTTGGGCAAGGTGTGAAGTTCAGAACAGGGGTAGGACCAGCATAGACACTATTCTGCCTTGTGAGGGGGCTGCAGTGTACAGCTAGAAATTTCCCTCCGAAACTGCCAAAACATTCTTGTGTGCTTGAGTTAACATTTACCATGAGCCTAAGTATTTATTATTACCATGGGATGTTTGGTGGTGGTAAAGTTTGTAGGTTTTGTGATTTTTTTTTTTTTTAAGAGGTGTTTGAATTGCCTTCTTCAGGTATGGGTTAAAATGTGAACTGTGACTGTAACAGAAAAATAATAACAACAAACCCTGATTTGCATTGATGATTCAACATGCAGTTCTGTCTGCTTTTCATGACTGGAACATTTGCAGTGAAAACTCTTCTACAGGTTTGTTCCCCAGGAGGGAAATATGTATTCTCAAGGACACACTTTTGCACTGGAAGAGGTCCCAGTGCCATCATAATAACTTTAAGTTTAGAAATTGTCATAACAGAGCACAACCAGCATTGTGTGACTGGGACATCAACCATATTATGCAAATATGAACGAACTGTAATTTCTGCAGGTAGCTTTTTGGTTTAAATGTTTATTGCATCCTAGATGCTTATATAGAAAGAAAAATCTGATTACTGTTAAAGAAGTAATGCAGGATTATTGCTTAGGAAGTTCTGCAGCCTACCAACCATTCTGCAGGTGCTGTTGGTCCTTAAAACTACCTGGGTTTTGAACTCTGCACATATTGTCACATATTTTCCCAGGAAGAAAATTAACTCTATCCCAGCTGAAACCAGGACATTATGTCAATGGCAGTTTTGGAAATGGAAAACTTGAAAGTCTGCAGATAACCAATTGTGTTTGTGGAAGAGCTGTGCAGCAGCGGGTCACATCTGAATGTCCCCTTCTTTTAAACTAAGGCTTCTACAGAGAATAATGGGAAGCTGTTGTTTGCTCGTTGTGCTTAAATATATGGGGTCCTATTTGCTAGAATTTGTATGTTTTGCTTTGTACTGAGCAAAATGGAGATTGTCAAAGGTTTTATCCTGGGCTTGAGTGATCCCCCAGGCCACCGGTCAGAAGTGTCAACTTGTGTCACTCGCTGTGTGCCAGGGAGAGGAGTGTGACTAGTCCAGCAGTCACATCTGGAGGCATCTCAATTGATTTGAGATGCCTGTAAGCGTGGAGGCTCAAATTAACATCTCTGTTATTGTATTTCTCATGTGGTAGAATTATACCACAACAAATTGAAGAGTGAGGGTAGCTTTACTGTTGTGAAAGGCAGGAAAGGGACAATGTACAAGTATGGTGTTGAAGTTTCTCATTTTTTCCAGGAATAAATTTAAGGAACTTTAAAATTCTGTCTTTATTCTACTCCTTAGATTTTGAAGCAAGTTTTATTCGCCTGATTGACAAAGTGACCAATGGCTCTAGGATTGAAATAAACCAAACAGGTGAGATCTGTTGTCTCTTCCTCTGTTCTGGTCTTCTGGGCTCTATCAGTTGCTGCAGTGAAATCAAAAGTTTTGGCTTGACGGAGGTAGGTGTTAGGTATCATTGACTGAGAAGATCAGAAATAACCAAGCTCAGAAGTTTTGTAGTAATTGATCGTATGCAAGAAGATCACTGCTCCACCATAATGCAGAGAGGTAACGAAAGTGTATTGCTCAATAATTAAAATTAGTATTTTGTTTGGTATGCAGGATTTTGTAGTGGGGGAAGGTCCCTCTGAACCAGAACGGATTTTTGTAGGAGGCAAGGTTTGCCTTCTACGAAGGCAAACTTGTGAGGAAGACTGCTTGCCTAGTCATGCTGAGAAAAGGGGTTGGTTGGAGCCAAGCAGCACATAAAAATCTCATCTGGTTCTTGTCCTCTTTTTTTTTTTCTAAATACGATTATGATTAGTCAGTAAAGCAGATGAACTACCACCAGATATGTCAAGACAGCGATGACCTGATGGTCTGGTGAAGATTTAGTTGCTGTAGAGGATAATAATTGCTTGTATCAGCATTTTGGGGATTGGTAAGAGATCCTTGATTTTGGGGGAGAGAGGAAGGGAGGAATGGTGTGTGAGACAGACAGATCCTTATGTGCGTTGGCCCATTTATTAACTGCAGACGTAGAAATAGCGTGCTGGAAGTGCCATCATCTTTCATAAATTCTTCTGTCTCCAATTGGCCTGTATACATCATTGCAAAGCCTCTTTATGTTGTAGTAATGGCTAGTGTGCTGATAGTGCTCTCATTTGGTTTGCTCCCCTGGCATCTTCCCCAGGTACTACCTTGTATTATCAGCCTGGTCTTCTGTATGGAGGCTCCTTGGAACATGACTGCAGCCCCAGTCGTAGTATTGGCTACTATTTGGAAAGTCTGCTCTGCTTGGCACCTTTCATGAAACATCCATTGAAGATTGTCCTGAGGGGAGTAACAAATGACCAAGTAGATCCTTCGGTAAGTAATAAAATTTAAGTACCAGGGGAAGGTGGTTTTTTTTAAGGAGGAAAAAAAAAAAAAAAGAAAATATTAGGAAGAAGTGTCTAAAACACGTTGCATTTTTATCATCCCTCACATCAAGATGTATCCAGTGTTACTGCATCTGCCAGCAAACTCTGTGAATCAAACAAGCATCTGCTAAACTGTTCCCTTTCTGCATCACACTCCAAACTGCAGTTTGTAATCACCTTTGGGCTTTCAGTTCTGTACTGCTTCTGTCTTCTCCCCTGGAAACTCCCTTTAAATGCGATCTGAGGCCCTGCCACTGGTTTGCTTCTCCTCTTCTCTTAGAAATTAGATGGGTTGTTTCTCCTACCCAACACATATACTTACTTGAAATTGTCTTTAAAATTTGAGTGTAACAAGGAAGGAATCTTTCTCTTCTGTTGGATGCTGGACATAGTTATACCAATGCTGCTGTGAAGCCTTTCCGTTAGAAGTCACGTGACAATTACAAAATATCAGTAGCAAAAATATGTAATAGCTGTCTGATTCTTCAGAAAGACAGTAGAAGGTATGGTAGATCAAGTGACTATGAAATGTTTGCCTTGATTTCTGTTACTGCTGATTTATAGTCCTCTGTTTTAACAGTGTTGCTACAAAATGAGCTATGGATAACATGGTATTAAAACACTGAAGTAATGGTTAGTGGTTATGCTATTTTTTTCCCCCAAAAAAACCCCAAACATAATGGCTTTTGGAGAACAGCACTGCTCTTTAACTTTGAACGGCGATTGGAGACTGCCTATTTTCCTCTGAGGAGATTAAGGAAACATTGTCATCTGAAAACCAGTTTAAATGAATACAAATACTATGAAGTATAATTGCAGATATTAGACGAGCCTCTGAGTCCTGCTGGTATTTATGGCTTTTCAGCTGTGCTTCTCTTGTCATTTAAAAAACTTGTTCTCTCACCCATGGCTCTGTGGGACACCCACATGAGTCAAAGGATGATTAAAGTGGGTTATACACAGCACTCTCAGGGAAAAAAAAAAAAAGGAAAAGGAAGAATAAAAAAGTAAATGGGAAGCATGTTTCACTAACCTTTCAGTCACTGTGATTAGAAGTACTTGGTAGAGATGGTAAGTAGTAAGAATCAAAGAAGTCTCTTGGTGGACTGTGTCTTTTTCATTACAATGGAGGAACTCTTTAAGAATTTGGAGATGAAAAGCAGTCCAATTTTAATGTTGGTTTCAAGTAACTTTGGACACTCATCTAAGCAACTGAGTCTGGATTCTGGAAATTGCCCGTTTTCAGGCATCAGCCGCATAGGCCAATAGAGACTAAACAATTTTAGTTGAAATGTGTGCAAGAATTTGAGCCAGTTAGTTTGCGCTTGAGGGGTGCTTGCACTGGCCAAAGTTCAGACACAGACAGGTTTTGGCATACATCAGCTGATTCACAGTACCTGGTACTAAGTGTAAATAAAATACAGATGTGCATGCTAAGGAGTTACATCTTAAGTTCGTTGTGCTGTAGAAGCACAACCACAGTTACTGTGACTCAACTCATGTACTAACTTTTTAAGTGGCGATAACTGAATACCAGTTCCTAAAACTGGTTTAAACGTGGTTTATGTCTGTTTAACTTGCCTGAGTAAACATTAAACCTGGTGCACACCAATAAACTACTTTAAGGAGTTTTACAAGATGTTTCGTATAGCAAGCTGCAGAGCCTAAACTGAGACTAAATGCACAAGTTTAAGTGCTACCCTAAGTGCTTAAGTAAATGGAAACTTGGTTTTAAATTGATTTGGTTTTTTATTTTTCAGTAGGGAGAAGGTGTTTAGAAACTGGGTGAACATTTATTACCTACACTTGCCCAAAAAGGGATGCTTAAATTTTTCTATCTGTACACTTTCTGGCTTTCCAGGGAGACAGTGGAAAGGCAAACCAATGTAAATATACTGTGGGTAGTTTAAAATGGGCAAGGAGTTTTCCCTGCTGCTCTTCGTGTAAGAACTTCTCCATCTCCACTTAGTAGGTACCATAGGCAAGACACCCGCTCATCATCTGCTTTGGAGAATTTTTATTGGTTTTATTTGTGAAAGGGATGTCATGTTTTGTAAACGTGTCTTTATTTTGGACCTAGATGAACTCTGCAGGATGTATCCTTGCACGAGTGTATTCAACATGTGTCATATGCAGATAAATGTACAAATTCACATGTGCGTGTGTGAAAATACATATGTACATACATACACACACACGTGAGCCTATAGCACTCCCTTTGTGCTTGAAAGGAGAAGGTAGTCCTTACCTGTCCTCCCTCCATATCTCCTGCTTTCAGCCACACAGTCCTGTGTACTCCAGTAATACCCCATACACTTTTCAGAGCTTTTCCTAAACCAGTTCAGCTAATTGGCAAAATGGCAGAGAGCTGTACCCCTGCATTTTCTCATGGAGGCATCGACAAGGTAAGTAGCAGAACATGTGTGCAGCCAGAGAAGTGGGACCTTTCCCTCATGGTAGCAGTGAGCAGGTAGGCTGACTCACTGGGCTTTCCGAAATCCACTCTCAGCACTGAGCTCTCTGCTTTTACACAGCCTCAAAAATATCTGTTGGGTGTGATTGCTGTGTTGTGGGTTTGAGGTTGCTCTTTGCCAGAGAACCCCTTGTTAGGAGGACAAAAGGGAACGTGGCAGGTCTCCTGCTGTGGGGAGAGTGGAAGTGGTCAAGGCGAGAGGAAGGGCGTTCCTAAAGGATGGCTTGTGGAAGGAAAGACTCCAGCTGACTTCAGTGAGGCACAGGTCAGGCTGAGTTCCTGGAGTATAAATAGTGTGTGTTTATGTTAGCATTTGTTTATATACATTAATGGCCCTCCAGTGGGGTGCAGTGGAAAGCTCTGACAGCTGGCGCTGTTCTGGAAGAGTGCTGTGGCCACTGAAATACAGGGTAATGTGCACTTGCTCCAGGTTGGACCGTGGTGATAATAGTGTGAGTGATACATCCTCAGTGAGTGACAGGGATGCTCCTTTGCTCACACTTGTCAGGAGCGGGTGTGCTTTGGAATACCAGCCTGAACCATCCACTGGCAGCCTGTTTGCGTTGTCTTTTTCTGCATGACCACTGGTGAGACCTGGCCATGGGTAGCTTGTGGGACCGGCCGTGTTGGACTGGCGTATAGAGTTGAGGTTGTTCCAAGCTTCTCTGTACAGAGAGTATGTATGTCTTTGTAGAGTGCCTCTTTGAAGGGTATGGAGGTGCACGCATATGGTAGCTCTTATTTTCCTTTCCTTCTCTACGTTAGTTATTCTGACAGATATGTAGTGCTGCAGTAACCTGGTGTTAGAATAATCGTTCTCAATGTTTGGGTTTGCAGGTGTTGAAGTTTTTTTACAGCTATGCCGTGGGACTTTCAACTGAAATGACTTTCATGCTGGCATGAGACTAGCGTGTGAAGTTTTGACTTGGGAGCAGTAATCTTCAATGTTAATCAAAATTCAGCAGTTGTCTGTAATCCCAGGAGAACAAGAAGGTTTTCCTACTGACTTTTGTGTCTATTCTTTTTCTTTCACTTGCTAAACTCTGGTTTTACTCCCCCCTCCCCGAGTCTAGGTCCTTGTCCCCAAAACGTAACACTATGTATGGCAGGGATAAATGCTCTTCTGTGCAGTGCTAATGGCTACGCAGGTCAGCTAATATTTGCCCCTTTCCTAGGTAGACATGTGCTCTAGGGTCTGTGTCTGGTTTTTTGCAGCTTTGCGCTAGCTAAGGGATTCTCCAAACCACTGAAAGTTACTTTTTCTTTTTTTTCATTGTTGTAGATTTCTTTAAAGGAAAAAGGGTTGTATTTACACTAGTCTGTGAATAAGCAATGTCTGCGGGACTTAGCAAGTTGTTGGTATTTGTCGTGAGGTATGCCCTCGGTTGTATGATGCATTTGCTTTCGTACAACTTGGTGTTGTGTTGTCTGCTCTGGAGATGGGATAACTGCCCTTCAGGTGGAGCTGAAGGATAGTTTTATGGCTGAGTATAGGCAAGAGGCTAGAAATGTGGTTTTAGGTCTCAGTTCTGCTACCGTCTTGTGATTTCCAGTGAAGTACTTAACCTCTCCTGCCTGAACTCCCATTCACCTGCTAAGCAGAACAGCCTTTTCCACTTCTTCAAATACTGCCAATTACCTTCTCTATGTACGCTGCAAATTTGGAACAGAGACAGTCTCTTATTCTGTGTCTGTCTGGTACCTGGTAAGTATCATGCCTAGAATTTGAGGACTGAAAACTATGACAAGTCTTGAAATTTTTGGAAACAGACAAACCAGACTCAAAATTGATCCAGCTTCCTAATGCTGATGTAACATGCTTTCTCCAGGGATACAGACTTCAGTCCAGAATTGCAAAAGTGGAAATGGAGGAGGGAGAGGGAGTTCCTAACCTACACAGTGAAGCTCTTCTTTTTTTTTCTTTTCTGGTATATTTTGTTTCCTGAGAAAGTGTGAGAAATATCATATAACTTTAATGTGAACCAGATCAGCTTGTTGGAACTTCTACTGGTGGTATTTACATATGTCTTTGTGTGTGCACATGCATGTTAGTAAAGGTCTTTGCTCTAAAAGTCAAATTTGTGTGATTAATGAATACTACTGAGGGGCCAATTTAAGGTAGCCTAGCTGTAAAAAATATAAAATTAATCATTGACCTACAGGGTTTTTTAATGAAGACATTCGAATATTGATACTACTATTAAAACCAACACCAAATGCCTCTCTGTAAGAAAGGAAGTATGTTGGCCAGCAGGATTTGAAGAATGAGAACTGCAGCATACACTTGTAGCTACTCACGTAGCTCTAAGAGGCTGTTCACAGCATTGTAGGTGAGGTGTGTGCTACTGCTTTGTCAGTGGCTTGCACTCTGCAAAGCAGAGAGAATGAAACTCAAGAATTGTGGATTCTGGCTGAAGGTGTGGGAAGGAGGGTGCTTTTTTTCTGCCTCCTCAAATGCTGTCCACCACATGCCTGTTTCCTTCACCTGAATTTAGTTCCTCTTTGGTATTGCTGTCCTGATCCAATCTCTCCCAAGCTGCTTGTCTTGGGTAGCTCCCTGTGCTGTTGCACCACTAAATAATTTTTGTCAGCTTTGGCAATGCTACTGAAGTTTCAGCAGAGGGAGGAAGATGGCAGTCACTGTTGTCTTAGGTCAGGAATTAGGAGGAGCAATGGCAAGGAAAATCCTGCTCAGACCTGGATCTGGCGAGCATCTGGCTCAAAGGGGGTACATGGATGATGTGTCACCCACTTCAGATTCTTCTAAGTATTTCAACAGAAGTTACCTAGAAGCTTCTGTTTCTCAGAAACAGATAAAAAGTTTTTCACAAAAGGATGAGGTTCTTCCTGCCAAATCAAGGGCCTGCTCCAAAATGCAAAGTTTCTTGCAATCATCGTTTATTTAGCTGTAGGAAATTTTTAGCAATAACAGCAGAATATCATTTTTTCAGTATCTGTGTTTGGAGAAACAAGTGAGCTGTTTTAGCTGAACCATAACAGAAATAAAAATCAGGCTGAGAAAGAAATCCAGAATAGGAAATTCCATCTCCCAGTAATTTGTCCTAGCAAATTTTTTGACTAATGAGATACTGTGGTGGTCTAAGAGTAGCCGAAGCTCTCTATGTTGCATAGAATACCTAGTATGGAGAAGCCTTGTCTTTGTGAGGCACCTCATAAGGGAATGATTTTTAAATTACTGACTTCTGTGACTTCCAATAAAGAGTCTGCTTTTTTAATTCTGTGTTCTGTAGGTTGATGTTCTTAAGGCAACGGCTCTACCCCTGCTGAAGAAGTTTGGAATTGATGGTGAAAGTCTGGAAATCAAGGTAAGACAGTTTGTTCCTTTCTTTTCTAGCACATGCTGAAACGATGCCTCTGCACTGCTTCACAAGGTCATACGCTTGCTGATGGTATCTGTCTCTAGCAGATACCTAGTTGAAGCTACACACATTTCTAAAATTGCCTCTTGTCCTTGGCATGTTTTAAATGGCATACCAGCCATGTAGTGATTGAAGATGTGGTAGAAGAGAGAGATACAAAGGCTGTGGGTAGAGGCAGTAAGGAGAAAGTAGCAACTTTTCTTAGTCTCCAAGATCTTTGCAAGCTAAGAAACCTTTTTGCTTTCTTGTTCCTCTTCACTTAATTTCTTTTTCCTTCCACTTGCTTTTCCTGCCATGTGCTTAGAGCTAGGGAGTAATAGTAGAATCTTTTGCTTCCTTCACCAGTAAAGGATCTGGATCTGTGTTTGGGTGGTTGAGGTTTGCTTCTGGTTTGGAAAATACAGGAAAGAAACTTTTCTTTAAAGACTACACTCTTCACAGGCCAAATACATGTGGATATAGAATAGATTTTTTAGGTTGGAGAAAGAAGCTATAGCCTTTCAAAGTCAAGAATGCTCAATTAAAATGCATGAAGGCCTTAGCTGCACTGCTGGTCTTTGTTTTTGTCTCTGCCAAGCCTGCCCCAGGTGCCTCCCCCCACCCTGCCCATGGCCCAGGACCCCATGTCATCCCCCTGGGACCATCAGCCCCTGCTCCAGCAACCCTGCAGTTGGGCCAGTCTCCAGCTCCCCACAGCCCTGCCTGGCCCTGGGTCTCCTGAGCCAGACCCGCCCACGGGCCCATGTCCCATCCCCATCCTTGTGGATGTTGGCTGGGGCGGGGGGACAGGCTCCGGGCGGGCCAAGCCCCATTGTGGTCCCCCATGTACATACTAAGCATCAAACACTTCTAGACTTTCTTCAGCAGTGAGGTACAGATTTGCTATTGGAGACCAGTCTTAAGCCAAGGTTGCCTTCCTGCTAAAGGTGTTGGGTTTTTGTTTCGTTGGTTTTGTTTTGTTTTCCATTGAGAAGCCATGCCTTACTGTACTTGAGAGAGAGGAGGAAAAAAGAGAAATCGATTTTTTTACTTATAGGTTTGGTATAAAATCCATTTCTGCCTTTAGAATGTCTTTTTCTTACCTGTGTTCATATAGTACCTCTACTGATAACATTTTATTATATGTGAAATAAAAGCTATCATTTTTCAGTGTGGAAGTACATTCTTTGTGCTCTTTACTAACCTGCTTTTTTCCTCCATTACTGTTTCTAGATCAACCGGAGAGGAATGCCTCCCAAAGGTGGTGGAGAGATACTGTTTGCTTGCCCAGTGAGAAAGGTCTTGCAGCCTGTTCAGTTCACAGACCCTGGCAAAATCAAGCGCATCAGAGGAACTGCGTATCCTTTTTTTTCCTTCTACTTGTAAATGAGTTTGCCTTAAAAAAAAAATAAGTCTCCCAACTTGAAGTCGCAGAAGTGCACCCATATTGCTGAGCATGTATCCAGATAACACAGGGTGACATTACACAGAGGGATCACACAACTATGTTTCAGGACCATGTCTCAGAACCGCTGTGTTCAGAACATTGCTGTTCAAAACCCATCAGTAGACAAGTAAATAAATTTAAAACTTAACAGCACTATTTAAAATTTTTTCACTAGCAAGAAAAAGTTAAAATACCTTCCATCGCATAATGTAGCAGCGCTAAAAGGAGTCTTACCTTATGTGTAAAATCCAGTAGTAACAAGTGTAGTTTTGGTATGCATTGAATAGGTGGCATCTTGGCTGTTAATAAGTCTAGCAGAATGTTGGATGGGAGATGAAATTTTAGTTCAGTTTACACCTCACTGCACACATGTGAACTGAGCTTTTTGTTGTGTTATGAGAAGTTTGTTAGCTCTTCACCTTCAGTAGTACCATTGGAGATGGAAGTGGAGAAGGTTTTACTTCTGCGCAAAGATAAGGGCACAAAATATTGTTGTGGAGTACTCACTTTTCAAAGAGAACTGCGCATCTAGTTAATGTTTTGTTTGGGGTTTTTTTCCTTTATTTTTCTCTTGTGGTTTTTATATGGTTTCTGTCATGATTCTGCTGTCACTGCAGGAAGAACACAGAAATCCCTTATAGGCAAGGTGTACTAAAGGTGGTATTTCATGAGCTCCTGCTCTCTCTTGAGCATTGGCCAATTTGTCATTTAATTTGTGATTATGGGAGTCCCAAACATGATCTGACTTTAAATACTTGAAAGGAAGGCAGGAATGGGGGCAGGTTTCCTGCCAGAGGTGCAGATTTGCAGCCTATTCCTCCTTTTACTTTATGGCATACCGTCACAATTGTGTGTGAGAACAGCACGCCTTGACCTCTGTTTCCAACTGTGGCATTTGGATGAGCGCAGCATTGCCGAGTGAGAGCAATTTTACTGGGTGCATGTGCTGCAGAATAACAAAGGAGGCAGCTCAGTGTGCTTTTGGTGGTGTTTGTCATGGTCTTTCCATGAAGAAAGTAATTTCCTTATGCTCCTGTCCACCTCTGTAGTAAGTAGTTCTATCCTCTGTTTCTGTGTGAAGGAGGAAGCAATGATCATGGCTCTAGTGCCATCTTTCTAAGTTGACATTAATACATAGTGCCATTCTGGGCTACTTTGACTGGATTTGGTCGATGTATGTGAACTGCAGGTTTTTGAACTTCCACTTTCCTTTAGGTTTTTCCTTGGCTTTTTTTCAGGAATAAAGGTTTACCTTTAGTAAGGCCAGTGAGAGGCAGTCTCATTTTAGTTTGGCCATTAAGCGTCCTTCAAGCCAGTAGAAAACAAAACAGCTGGAAGGATAAATGCTTAGGTCTTTTATAGGTGCACTTTTGCCCCTTCAAGATTCAGCTGAGCGATTCTGCTTCCTTGCAGCTGGGGAGCTTGTGTCGCAGCAACCTTTTATAGTCATCCAAAGTACTGAGTGTACCAACTGTGCAGAACAATCCGTTTTCTGATTATTATTTACTGGTTTTGCCCTTAAGATCTTAAGCTTTTGGTTTACTCACTCCACAAAAGCATGCAATAGAAACTTGTAGAAAAGGAAATTCCCTTCTCCCAGCTGGGAGGTTTGAGAGTGTGTTTCTCTGCATTGCTGTGTGTATGTAGGTGCAGATGGGTCGTTAAATGTGCAGGGCATGAGTCTGCATTGTAGCTGGGATGGAATTTGGAGCACAATGTGCTTTGTACATTTGAAGATCTGTTGGGAATATCACTGAAGCAGCACTGAGTAAAAAGGCACAAAGGCAGTTCATCTCTTGTGTACTGTGAAGAGGTGGCTTGGGGTGAGCGGGAAGGTGGTAGTTTCTTCTTCCCTGGAACTGTTACCTTCAGGTGCTGAGTGACAGGAGAACCAGTGAATTTGGTAGCCTTAACAGCACTGCAAAATAGTTGCAGAGAGCAGAGTGGGGTTTTTTTAGCCTTTTAAAATTAATTTTTTCTTTTGTTAAAAATTTCTTTAATTTTATCTACTCTATTTCTCCCCAATAGAAATAGCAAGACAGGATTTCTTGCTGCTAATTCAAAGAAACTTCACCCGTCACCATCTTTTAACAGTATATGAGGAGCGGAGGATGCAGGGCTTCCTCCATCGTAAGAAAGCTCAGGATTACAGAACAGCAATTTAAAATTATTGAAGGGCATTTTTAAGATAGATGTTTACCTAGTCAGAATAAACTGTTCTTCTGCATGTGTTATGTGTACCTCACTTCAAGCTACATCAATGAAAAGACTGTAGAAAACACTTATGCACATGTGCTTCTGTAAGTGCTGGAAAATGGACCGCCACTCATGAATGGATGTATAGGACAAAACCACATTTTCCAAAATAATGCATTGGGGCCTCTTGGCCACTTCTGTCAGTCTCTGATTTAAACTTCTTTTGTGACCAAAATGAATTCCTTAACTTAGAGATGTAGATACTCTGTCAGAGTGTCACCACAGATGGCAAACAGAATGGTGGAATCTGCAAGGAGCATCCTGAATAAATTCCTCCCAGATATTTATATCTGCACGGATCATATGAAGGGGGTCAGCTCTGGAAAGTGAGTATCCAGTATTCACAGGAAACAGAAATGTAATTCTGCATTGGTTCATCTGCTAGGGTGTTCTGATCTGTAATTTTACTGAGTTTTAGACCATGATCTTCTATTTTGCTGACTTGAATAAATATTCCTCACAGGGGAAAAAATGGAATGATTCACTAGATATGTTTGTTTTACTCATGGTACAGGGATAGAAGTTGTGTGTTTTCTTAAACAAGGAATGTAATACATCGTTACTGCTGCTAAAGGCAACTTGAGCTCTCTTCAGTTTTAAACCTGTTGCTCTGAAGTAAGATTAAGATCAGAAGTGCCATGGTATGTTGTAAAAACTAACATTCAAACTTGACTGTACACATTCTGATGGTAGTACTAATCTTCTGGACAGACAGTCTTCTGTCTGTGTGCTCAAATCCAAGCATGCACATTTTCTTTCACCGTTTGTTTTTTGAAGGATTGCCTTAAAGAAAACTTGCTAGGTTTGCAAATTTACAAATCTAAAAATTGTTGACTCAAGTATTTTTCCTCTTTTCCAATCCTTCATCATATTTTATATCCCAGGTTAGTAAGTCCTGTGGCTCCAGGCTGTTAACAGCAATCAGAATTGCAAAAACTCTTCTGGAAGCTGTGAGTTTTTGGGGTCTTATTTTGGTTTTTATCTGTCTATAAAGTGGAAAAGTCCAATGAATCAGGGCAGCAGCATTACATTTACTACTTCCATGGGTAGCCCATGCAGAGGGATAAATAATAGCATGGGACGAAGAATTGAATCCCTCTCCAACTTGCTGGTGCATGTGGCTTTCTGATCCCGCTGTGCTGTCACATCAGCCTAAGTATGGCGCCAGTACGATTGCAGTACACCTGATACTAACATTGTGCCACTTTGGCAAAGCTTTTTTTACTACCTGGTTCCCAGTGCTTGTGTGTGTGTGTCTTGGCAGGACAAGGAAGGAAAGCAACATGCCTCGTTGTTTCCAGTACTGCCTCTGGTCATGAGTAAGACCGGCAAGAACTAGTTCAGCCCAAACCAAGTCCCGATTTCAGAATATAAAATGTTGAACTATATCCCTTCCACAGTGCCAAAAGCTTCAGGGAATACATTATTTGAGCATATTCTGCCACCTATAATGTCTCTCTAAACAGAAACTTCCTGGTTCTGTTCTGAGCATTTGCAGCAAAAAGTTTGTGCAGATGCTTCCTAATACTGTCTCTACATACATGAGGCACTGGATGATTTTAGTTTTTATTTAGGCAGATTGCCACATGCTACTGAGCACTAACAAAATCCACCAGTGGGTATAGTTATTAAAGGATAATTGTCCAAAAAATAGCATCTTTGACACTGTTCTTGTCTTGCTGTCTAGACATCTGTCTTTCAGAGGAAGGAAAGGAGAAGAGAAACATCTTTAACATACCTTCTGTGTTGCTCAGCAAGTGCAGGCAGTTAAATATGGGTGGGAACCACTGATACCTTTTCATTCCTGCCCTACTGAAATGCCTCTGGAGGAACTGGTGTTTTTCTGACACCAGGAGAGTTTGTGTGTATTGGTGTTTGGGGTTTGATTTTGTGGTTTCTTGATGTTGGTGACATTCCTTATAGTTTTGGGTCAATGGGACTATTTTAATTAAAAAGTTTGGGTGGTGGAGGCAGCAGGAGTCCAGAATTGTAGGAGGTTAAGTTAACCTTATTTTAAATGGCTAGCTATTGGTGTTCTTCCAGAGCCTATAAATTAGACTTTTTTTTCCCCTTCCTTACAACTTTCTGATTTCTCAGCAAGCTGTACTCAGCCATCTGTGACTTTCTTGTAGCAAAATGTTTCTTAACTCTCACAATAGCATTTTGTAGATCCTAAGCTCTGAGGAAAATTAGGGGGTTTGTGCCTTTCTTCAAATCATATGTTCAGAATTCTTACATGGTTGTAATGATTTGGATGGTACTCAACTGAAAGTAAAAAGAAGCAATTGGAAATACAAGTAATGTGGATCAGACTTTTTTTTCAGTCTCCTGCCTGGTGCCATGGCTGTGGTCTAATCTTGCTAAATATTGAAGCTTTCAGGGAAGGAGCTCGATCCCTAAGGAAAGTGAGTTTGGGGTTTGAATGTCGCAGCGAAGAAACTCCAGATACCTTTGAAATATTCATCAAGTATGAATTAAATAAATGTGAAAGACATTAGTTTTCTTTTCTAATAGAGGAGGATATTTCTGAGCTTTGGATGTTTTTTTCTTTTTTTTCTTTGCTTTTTTTGTTTTGAAGAGTTTGTGCCAGAAATAGCCAGCACAGTGGGTTTGGGGCAAGTGGTACTGGGTTAAACTTTTAAATACTGTTATTAATGTTTTTTCCAGGGTGAATCAAATGTATAGAACAGGAAATTTGTCAGCAAGTCCAGATTTGCAGTATTGTCCTATGAGAGGAGCTGTTTGTGACTTGAGGAGGAGGTTGGCTGGGAGTAGTTCTTGACTCATTACTCAATTTTTGTCCTTCAATCAAATGCACTTTTTCCCTTTCTTCCAGATCGCCAGGTTTTGGCATGTGCCTTACTGCAGAAACCATCAATGGTACTATTCTCAGTGCTGAGCTAGCCTCAAACCCTCAGGGCCAGGGAACAGCTGTGCTTCCCGAGGAACTTGGCCAGAATTGTGCTAAGCTGTTGCTTGAGGAGGTCTACAGGGTAAGTGGCCAATATCTTTTGTGTGTATAGCTGTAGGGGAGGAAGGTAATGACATATTGGTAGAGGGAGAGGTGGTTTGGGGGCACACTTAGGCAGGCTCAGATCCAGAGAAATGATCCGATGCTGCCAGTGTTGTCTTCATCCAGGTAAGGAATGGTTTGGAATGGTTCCCTTAACAGTGCAATGACTTACTGGGCCATGTTATTTCCCATGTCCGGAAGAAGTTACTGTGAATCACAGTGGTGGCAAATTTTTCTTTTGTTGCTTTCTGTCTGCAGCAGAATTCAGTTGGCTTCACATGGGCTGTTACTGTTTTTGATAGTAAGTTGGAGGAGTAACAGAGTCAATGCTCTTAAACTAGTGGTTGGAATGGGGCATTATGAGTGGGAGAACATATGAGAAAGAAGGGAGAAAAAAAAGCAGCTGGCCTCAGTGGTGCCTGCTTTATGGTGATGATGACAAAGTCAAATGTGCTGAGATCTGTTGGTTGTATGAGGAACTGGCTGAATGGTTTGTTGGAAAGGAGCTAGAACAGTGTTTGTATAGGAATCTTAAGTGCATCACAGTCTTCTGCAGCATTTTTTTTTTTTTGTATTAAAATGTTTTTCATTTGTGGTGAGACTTTTAGTGAATGACCAGCTTTCAGTCTTACAAATGATTTGGCAATTAGTGTCATAGTGAGTTTCTGATTTAATAAAGAACCTACCCACTTTTGTTGTGTATCTCTACAAATTTTAAAGTAAGTAGCTGTTAGTATTGACAAAACACATTTGGCCTTTAGGAGGCAGTAATCTACAAATTGTACTCACTTTTTTTAAAAAAGTAATTGTTCTGAACTGGAACAACCTGATAGGACTTTGCAAAGTATTAAAAATGCCATTAGTAAGATTCTGTATTAGCTAATGCAGTCAATTATAAAAAAACTCCTTAACCTCATAAATCACATCCATGCCTGTAGTAGATTGTTCATCTGTGCCCATGTTATCTTTTCCTTCCTCTGCTGCAAAAACCCTTCATCTGTCTGAATTACCAACTTGCCCACTTGTTCCAGTCTTCCATTAATATTTTGTCTTTGTTTATTCAGTATATACACCATGTTGCTAGAGGACTTTCCTTTTCTAGCCCAGGGTTCTTATCTCATAGAAACGCCACAAACAAATATTCTTCCTGGGTACAGTCCAGACCTCTTGCATTTGAAAGTCCAGCATGCATGGAGAATGCAGTCACAACTACTGACTGAAACATCTGTCTGTTTCTACAATTATGTAGTGACAGGTAGCTATTTTTATTTGAGAGGTGAATTGTAAAATCTTTCAGCTTCCCCCTGCTCCCCTCCAAAAAAAAACCCCAACAACAACAAAAAACCCAAACCCACCTACAATTTGGTACATTGGTTTCTTTGTGTAAACCTCTTGGAAAACATCTTCAGGTAGTCAGATGATTGGAGGCATCAAAAATCCAATTTCCACATACTTTTATCAGCAGCAGTAGGTATTTTTTTCTTTGAAAACCATCCAGCACTTGACAGATTGAAACTAGTGAGGGAATTTGTCCAGATTATTATACTTCCTTCAGAGCTAGATGTCAGAGAACTTCCGAAAGGGAGAGGGCTAGAAAGGTCTGAAGCAGGTGATTTTCTGCTTTAGTGTACTGCAGTGATTTGAGTGTGATGAGTCAAACTCTGCAAAGCACCGGGATAGTGAGGATCTGTGGACAACAGAAAAAAAGCATTTGAGGAGGAAACTGGGTCGGGCAAGTCTTTGAACAAAGTGATAGGCCATGAGGTTTCAATGTCTTTGAAGATCAGATTCTGAGTGAGTAAGGTTGCTAGCTGTGGCCTGCTATGGTACCACTGGTGCTCCTGGAAGGCTCTTTCATGTGTGGGCTCCTTCAGTCCAAGAATGACTGACAAGTGCTGAGCAGTGCACAGACTGCTTGTCCTCCACTGCAGCAGCTCATGGTGGAAAAGTTCTTGTTTGTTAGCATTTTTGGCTATTGTGCTGCTTGTCCACTGGTGTGCTCAGTACTTATTCAATGTTCATAAATTCCCCACTCCCTCTGTCACAGGCAGTATGGTATGTTTTGTTCTGTAGTTTTCAGAATGCACACTTGAATTTATGACACACATGCTCACACAGTGCTAGCCAGGAATTTGGAAAGATGGGCTTTCTCATCGATTTTTTTTTTTGGTTGGTTGGTTTTTGTTTTTGTTTTTTGAGCTTAGGTCAGTTTGATCTAGCGGTGACCCAGAGAGGATATAAAAATATGTTGCAAAGCATGCACTGTTTACTTAGTTTGAAGATACTGGGTTTTTTTAAGCTTCTCTGCCTAGATAAGATGCCTAGTGAAACAGTAAAAATTAGGGAAAATTGTGCATGGAGCTTTGAACAGGCACTGTTTAATTCCCACTTTCTTTACACCAGCTACTCACTGAATACAGGGCTTAAGGGAGAATTTCTCTCCCTGTGTTTAGATCCTCTCTTTATGAGATTGTTTCTCCATCTGTGTCTTTGCCTGTAGGTACTGTGCTGCAGGAGCCAGAGGGGGTTGACCAGAAAAGGGCATTCGGGTGGCACTGGAGATGATTGTCTGTAGAAGGGTTTTAGTTATTGGGGTCACCCACAAATCTGCTGGAGTTATTACTGTTTAAAGGGGCCCAGGGACATCCCTTAAAGTGCTTGCTTAATGCTTGCTATTACGTGAACTTTACCACCTAGGAAATCCAAGGATTTGAGTCTTGCTATGTTAAGTGCTAAATGGTCCCTTTTACTAAGCCTTCAAAAAGAAATGGAAGAGATCGTATGACTCTTGGAATCAGTGGAGCTTTTTTTGTGTACACTTGTTGATGGAAAGATGTCAGAGCTAACTGACTAACAGTAAGTGGCACAATGCTAATTACAGTGGCCCTAAAAGAGGGGGCATGGAGTGACTTGCTAGCATTGTCTTTACAAATCCATATGCAGTTCTTACCTAAGCTTAACTGTAGAAGGCCAATAAGGATTTTCCTTTTGTCTTTGAAAGGTGTTGGTTATGGGAGCTTTATATAGTAGGTGATTGGTGGGATAGAAAGGCCTGGAATAACTGGAAAGGGACTGAATGTTTATATTCCTTGTGATCATGAAAAATCGGGGAAGATGCAATACCTATTTAAGGCTGAGTTCTTTAATGAAGCAAGGTCGAGTTGTTAGGGGGGCTTGGAGGGGTAGGAGGGGTAAGGCTGTTTGTTTTATTTAACTAGAGCTAAAACGAATGAAGCATTTCACTGAAGGCTTAATTTTCAAGATGGCCTTACTTCAGTGTGACAAGGCTCTGCTCCATTCTTCTGAAAACAGGAAAAAAATACAAAACCCCAAACCAAACCCTCTGCACTTAATCTAACAAGTTATTGAGGCATGCAAGTATGTACTGCACACAGGTAAGGGAGGAAATCATGTGTATGCCAAAATATAACCAAGACTAAATCAGAGCTGGCGTCGAGGTCAGAAGAATAATCCTCTTCAAAACACTGTTATCCAATACCCAGAGTTGTGATACTTGCATGTGCATGTCAGCTGTGGTATTTGTATAACAACATTTCAAAATGAATGGGATTTTAAGTGATCTGTGTCTCCAGTTGTCACATCCAGCTGGATCTGGCTCTGTTGTCAAAGGAAACAATAATGGAGAAACTGCCATAAATTGAATTAATATGGACTAGAAGCTGCGTCCTGGGCTGGTAACGAGTGCCAGCTATTTTGGAACAAATGATAGTACTTCGGCTCTGACTTTGCCCATCCTGTTTCTCTTGGGAGGGTTGTTTTTGATTTTGGACTCTTGAGTAAGTGGCAGGTGGATTGAGAGAAAAAAAGTTGGCCTCCTTGGAAGTGGCATGTCCTTCATTTGGTACAAGATAGTGTTCTTGTCATCATTAGATTACAAGCAAATCACTTTGTTTCCCTGTCTGGCAACCGCCTTTGTGGGAATGGGCATAACAGCACATTGCTAATGGACAACAATAGTGGGGACAACTGACTCACTGCAGCAGGAGAGCTTATGTAAGCAACTAGGACATGAAGGATGCATCATGTTTTACTATATTGTTTAGGACATGGTTGTCTCCATGCTGATTGAAGCTTTTGTATGAATTTGGTCATAAAAATAGATGTCTTAGAGTTTTCAGCTTTAGAAAAACAAACTCAGAAAATGTAAAGTTTTCATCCAAGTGACAAAGAGCGTTTTGAATTATTAACCAAACTACAAATACAGAAAGTCCTGTGTCTGGAATACTCCTTACCAAACTCTCATCTGCTTCTTGTACATGCTTCAGATTGGTGAATACAGCTGGTGAGCGCTGTGGCTGTAGATCACACCAGCAAATTCTGCAGGTACCCTGTTCACTCAAGATAAAGCACATTTTTTTTTATCAGTCCCATAGAAGGCATTAGGTTGAGTGCATGAACTTCACTTTGGTATGGCAGGTTCACACAGTTAAAAGGGCAAGGGCTGCTGTAAGAGCATGTTGCTACGAGTTAGGTCATGGTAGTGAGCGTAATGAAGACGTTTCCTTCGTGGTGGTGTTTGTTGCATGAAGTACTGCACAGGCTTCTTTCAGAAGAACGGAGCTGAGACTTGTCACACTGAAGCAAGGCCATCTTGAAAATGAAACCTTCAGTAACTCTCCTTGGAAAGGTCCTCCTTTCTGCCCTCTCACTGAGTAACTGTGCTGAGGTTGTCACCTCATTGTGTTTTCTTAATCTATGCAGTCCAAAATTTATTTTGCCCCTCCCTTGCCTTTTTGGATGGTGTTATCTCTTAAAATGATGAGAGGTTGCTCCTTGCCCACAAAGGCAACCATCAGTTTACCTCATTAGAGAATTTGGTTTTAAAAGGATGAATTTTTAGTTTTGCTCTTTCCAGACAGCCTGTTCAGAGGGCTTAGCATTAGGCCTGGTCCAGCAGGAAACTGTTCACAGATTTCATGTGGCTGTGGATCAGGGTGAATATGAGGACAGTCCGAAATAATGTTATGCCAGATACTTTTTTCTATTTTCAATATGTTTGCATAGTAATAGTTGGTAGATTCTCTCTACAGCAGTCTTGGCTGAAAGTATCCCTTTTAATTTGTGTTCAAGCTTTGTAAACCAAGAAAGCCTTCCAGTTCCAATTTATGTCTGCATCATAGTTAACACCTTCCACATACAAAACAATTTACCATGCATGTATGACTTACTACAGTCAAATGTGTACAAGAGTATATGTAGTTCTACATAATTTTATGCATGGCTTTTTCACGTAGCAATAAAAAAAATATCTTCCCATTTTAAATATGGGGGAAAAACGTTTTACAAATGTAAAACCACAAAAGCTAGGAGCAAGGGCTTAGGTGGATGTGTGCAAAATAACTTTTAACTTGCTGTTTTGCACCTGCTAACGCTGAACTATTTGTCTGAATGTAACTTTATAGTTATCATAAAGTGGTGCAATTCATGGGGTCTTCAAATGCATGTGAACTATAGTTAACACCTGTTTTCAATTTACTGCAAATAAATTCTTTGGTGCTTACATTCTTTGATGTTGGAAAAAAAACAGGTTGGGAGAGATGGGAGGGATCTTTTAATGTGACCTTGTTACTGGGTTTTGTTTTAGTTCTGTTCCTTTCCCAGCCTGCCATGTGAAATTAATTTGTCATTGTTACAAAATCTAGGTTTTTATCTCTTTGGCCCTTGAAAATTGGGAGTGGTAATTCAGCCTTTTAAGTCTGTCTTCTTCCTTCATTACTCTCCTCCCATCCCAATTTCTGGTTTGTACAGAGATTAATTATTAAAACACTTTGGTTTGCAGGGAGGCTGTGTAGATTCAACAAATCAGAGCCTTGCTCTGCTCCTCATGACCCTTGGACAACGGGATGTTTCCAAAGTCCTGTTAGGACCTCTGTCTCCATACACGTAAGTTGTTTTGTTCGGTTTAATTTCCCAGTCTTGTTTAATTTGCTATTTTTATTGCACAGCTATTTTTTGTATATGGAAGACTTTCCCTGTGGCTATGAATAGAGCAACTTGTACCTGTCTTCAAATGAGACAGGTGGTGTAAGTTACCTGGTGTTTATTTCTGCATGTTAGAAGATGATTGCCTTACTGTTCTATATTATTCCTGGTGCTGAGAATTGCAGAGACGGGGTTTATTGGTGGTTCTTGGTCTTGGATTGATGTGTACATCAGTTTGCTTCTTGTTGCCTAGCGTATGCTACCATGTTTTCCTGGTGATCTCTCTGTAGCTGTGGCATTAAATGGCATGTTTCAAATGGCTAGCCAAATGCTGAAGCTGTGATTGTCCATAGGAGGCAGCTTAAAAGTTCAATTCATGGAGCTGTGTGCAACCCCAGAGCTTTAGCCCTATCGGGCAGTGGACTTCTGTCTAGTCCTTCAGTCTCAGTTTTTATTAAAGCTTTGTCTGCAGCTGGTAGTGGTTCAGAGGATCGAAAAAGACTAGGTTTCTTATATTGCTAGTTGCAATGCACAGGTTAGGGGAAGGGCATCCAGTATCAAAAATTTCATTTACTGTATCAGACTGACAAGTGATTCACTAGATCGCAGTTATTCCTAGAGACCGAGCAGTTTTCCTTTAACCAAATGGGGGGAGGGTTGTTTATCTGACAATGGCATCAAATAATAAGACTATGAACTGTCCTTTTTCGGTTATCATGGTACCGGTGCTGTATATGTGAAAGGTACAGTACTGTGATAACTGAAGAATGGTGGTGCCATCACATGAGAGCTAGAAATTGCCTAACTGCTATTCTCAACCCCTGATATCTTGGAAACAACATTCATCAGATTTTGAGGGAAAGACAGGGAAGCCTCCCATTGCACAGAGGTAAAGTAATCCCCTGTAGAGTAAGCATCCCTGTGAAAGGCTTACAGAGGGTAGATAGCAGTGTTCAAAGTGCACAGTTAAGCATGTGAAACAAACCAATCACTTGTCATTGTCCAGTCTTTTTTTTTTTTTCTTTTTTGGTGCTACAAAAATCATGTACGTGCACTAGTTTATTTTGTAAGCAGGCTGATTTCAAAGGGGTCTAAGCTAGGAGTATGCAGCAGGGACAAAGGTCAGGAGCATCCTGAAGCAGCATGTGTCACATGAGATCATAAAATCTGTGATTCTGTGAGAATCTGTGACTCATCAATCCTATGAGGATCTAGTGAGAGATCATGCAGCTCTGCCTGCAGCACCTGTGTGCCCTCACTAAGGCAGCTCATAAAGGGCTGGGAAATTTGGCTCTTGAGCAATTCATCAGATGCGCAGGCTTTTGAAGTAAATTGCAATGCTGTCATGTTCCACTTCATTGTTCCTTCTTTTCTCTCTTGGGGCTGTGACATCTCTGCATTTAACACTTTCACCCTGCAGAATCGGAAGCTATTTATAAGCCGTGTTATGCTAGATTGGCTTCCCTGTCTAGCACAGTGTAGCATGAATGTGACAGTTCAGCTGGTGGATGAGAGCACTGTATGGGTACATGGTGCTTTGGCGTATGTCCGTCAGAATGAGGAAACGTATTTGTGTATTTCCATGGGAGACATCCTTTGCCCGTGCTACAGGCATGGTGGGGGGGTAAGGGGGGTTGCAGGTACACTATGAGCAGGGCTGGCCTGAGTGGCACTGGGAACACCAGTCCCAAAAAGACCACTTGGCCTGCAGCCATCTGGATTACCTCCTCTCATCTTATGCTCCAGATTTCACACAAGTAAGTGCCCCTCTGTCAAGCTGAGTTTAAAATCAAATGCAGGGTGCTGCCTGTGTTGCCAGCTCCCAGAGATCAGTCTTGCAGGACAGGCTAGTCTGCATGCAGGTGAATTGGTGTGAGCCAGGGCTATGTGCAGGAGAGCAATGGGAAAGCCTGAGTGCCCTGGGTCTTGGTTTCACAAGGGTTTAGGGAATTCTAGTGGAGGGGATGGGGCCAGGCACAGCCCCTCAGGAGAGGCTGCCTCAGGCAGGGCATCTGCCCGGCTGGGACGCTGCTTTTGGTCGTTCCCCGAGCCCTGCCTGGGGTCAGGGGTGTCTGTCCCAGCCCGCACCCAGCCCCTCGGCCTGTCCCCCTCCTCCCTGCAGCCCGCCTGCTGCAGCTGCAGGTCAGGGCTGGCTGCCCCTGCTTCCCTCCCGGGCAGCCGCCGGGGAGGGCTCCGGTG